CCCTGGTGGTCTAAAATTAGCAATGCATTCCCACCCCAAAATGGGAAGTTTATTTTCCTCAGTAGAATCAAATCTGTATATTGTGGTATTTATATTTAAAATCATCTGGTAGCTAAGGACTCCCATAAATATCTGACTAGATTTCAGGTTTTCCTCCATCAATGTTTCCATAGCTGACACCTTTTAAACTAGTGAACTTGCTGTATTGTGAATATGTGATTTATGTATGCACTGGGGGGGAGGGGTCAAGTACAAAAGAAAACTATATTTGTATCCCTAAGGTTTCTAATGCTTCCATGCCCAACACAAGTAGATTTTTATAACAAAGGCTTGTTGAATAAATGAGTGAATAATTCTGGCTCTTGAGCTGGCTCCAGTTACATATTGTCAGGTGGTAAAATACCTTAGAAAGCTACAATTCTCCCCACCTGGATGGTAAAGTCTATCGCAGACATATTCATTGAGCATCTACTATATGCTCAGCATTGCACCAGGGGGATGGTAGTAATTGAAGTCATCCAGGACATGGCTGTAGCTTCACAACCCAGAGAATTATCCCTCTCCTGCCTCAGTCCTTTAGTTGCTGTTGGCTATGGCTTTTTTAGACGCCACTAGCATCCCAGCATCTCACAGCTTTTCTGTCCAATACACCCAGTTTAAAATATCTCAAAATTTCCCAGAAGCTTTCACCCAGAGGGATACAGGCTGAGAACTTAGGACTCATATGGATGCCTATCCAACTGGATGGAAATATCTCCACCAATGAAAAATCCAGGAATGTTTGTCCTGCGTGTGAATCCATTTTTTTCTAAAACAGATAAATTAGACTCATGGAAACTGGTGAGGATATAGAGTCATAAAAGATAAAAATACATTATTTCACCAAAAATTTCTTAAATGTGTTTATATCACTTATTCTATAACTTATAAGACACTTGTGCAAAGAAGTTTTCCTCTAGGTTACATTTTGGTAGTTAATTGGGAGTAAACACCAACTGTTTTGTTAAAATTGTACTACCTTATTTTGGTGTGATGGAGAAGCTATAATCCTTTTTGTTAACTCTAGTTTGTCAAGATTTTAGTTTTTCCTCTCAAATATAAATTGGTAGGGACCAACGGAAATTGCACTAAATTAGCCATCCCCTCCTCCAAACTCCCAGACGTATCTGATAGTATTTATACAGTGATGAGAAGCAGAGCTGCCCTATCCTTGAATAAGAGCTACTTTCCATTCCCCAGAAGCCTGAAGAAGAATAGAACTGCAGAATGAGAGCTGATAGGTGCACCAACTCACACTCATCAGAGTAACTATACTCAAAACAGGTAATGACCTTTTTTGTTGGCGAAGATGTAAAGATATCATACCCTGCTGGTGGGAATATAAAATGGTGTAAGAGCTAAATAAATAAATAAAGTAAAATAAAATAAAATGGTGCAAGAGCTTTGGAAAAGCAGTCTGGCAGTTCCTCAACATGTTAAAAAAAACTAGTTACCATATAACCCAGCAATTCCACAACCAGGAATATATACCCAAGAGAAATGAACATATGTCCACACAGGAATCTGTACATGCATATTCACAGTAGCGTTATTCTAATAGCCAAAAAGTGGAAACAACCCAAATGTCCATCAACTGGTGAATAAATAAAGAAAATATGGTATATCCATACAATAGAATATTACTCAGCAATAAAAATAAAGTACTGTCCTAGCCGGTTTAATTCAGTGGTTAGAGCGTCGGCCTGCAGACTGAAGGGTTGAGGGTTCAATTTCAGTCAAGGGCAAGTACCTTGATTGCAGGCTTGATGATCCCCGGCCCCAGTAGGGGCATGTGTGGGAGGCAACCAATCAATATGTCTTTCTTTCTGTGTCTCCCCATCCCTTTCACCCTCTCTAAAAAAAAAAAAAAGAAAATCAATGGGAAAAATATCCTTGGGTACAGAATAAAACAAAAAACAACAAAAAAAATGAAGTACTGCCCTAACCGGTTTGGCTCAGTCGATAGAACATCGGCCTGCGGACTCAAGGGTCCCAGGTTCGATTCTGGTCAAGGGCATGTACCTTGGTTGCGGGCACATCCCCAGTGGGGAGTGTGCAGGAGGCAGCTGATCGATGTTTCTAACTCTCTATCCCTCTCCCTTCCTCTCTGTAAAAAATCAATAAAATATATTTTAAAAAAATAAAATGAAGTACTGACACATGTGATAGCATGGATGAACTTTGAAAACATGCTAAATTAAAGAAGCCAGTCACAATGGACACACAGTATATTATTCCATTTATATAAAAATTCCAGAACAGATAAATCTAGAGATAGAAAATAGATTAATGGTTGTTCATGGCTGGGACAATGAGGGGGGTTGGAAGGTGTCAGCTAAGGGATGTGGGGTTTCTTTTGGAGATGATAAAAATGTCCTAAAGTTGATTGTGGTGTTGGTTGTACAACTCACTGAATATATTAAACTAGAGGCCCGGTGCATGAAATATGTGAATGTGGCGGGGGGGGGAGCCCTCAGCCCAGCTTGTACCCTCTCCAATCTGGTACCCCTTGGACATCCCTCTCACAATCCAGGACTGCTGGCTCCCAACCACTAGCCTGCCTGCCTGCCTGATTGCCCCTAACCGCTTCTGCCTGCCAGCCCGATCACCCCTAACCACTCCCCTGCCAGCCTGATCGACACCTAACTGCTCCCCTGCCGGCCTGGTCGCCCCCAACTGCTGGCCCAGTCGCCCCCAACTGCCCTCCCCTGCCGGCCCGATTGCCCCCAACTGCCCTCCCCTGCCAGCCTGGTCACCCCCAATTGCCCTCCCCTGCTGGCCTGGTCACCCCTAACTGCCCTCCCCTGCTGACCTAATCGCCCACAACTACCCTCCCCTGCTGGCCATCTTGTGGTGGCCATCTAGTGACCACATGGGTGGCCATCTTGTGCGAGGGTGTGATGGTCAATTTTCATATTACCTCTTTATTATATAGGATACTAATGGATTGTACATTTTAAATGGGTGAATTGTAGGGTATGTAAATTATATCTCAACAAAGCTGTTAAAAAATTGGGAAGTGAAATTCCTGTCCCTGGGGGTGGTTATGATGTTGCTAAGGCTTCAGGAAAATACCTACTTGAGAAGATTCTTCTCGGAAATCCTGCAAAGAAAAACTGACTCAGAACCCCAGTACTTAAGGTTGATTACTGCATCACAGAAGTTTAGCCATGGATATTATGCAGCCCTTTTATAGATTTCTCTTGGATCTTTAAAAACAAAAGTTCCATTTCCCGCTTCCCCAAGAATTCATATGAATGATCCACAATGAAAGCCTCTCAATTTTGCTGTCCCAGGAAGGACAACAGATACTTTGATCTATGTCTAGAGAGAATCTTTGGCATATTCAAATTCCAAGTGTAAACCAATAAATTCCTTCTTAATCACGCAGATGTCAAATTTTTAATAAGCACATCCAGCAAATCCCTTGAAAGAAGTAGTCAAGGCTCCTACAGAGATAGCTTAGTGGAATGAACAAAGGAACACATTTTATAGTAAAGTGTAAACATGTTACATTGCTCCAGAAGAAATAAGACAGAGACTGCTAGCTGCCCTCCAAAATCCACCTCACCCTCTCTCCTTGAGCTCATAGCAAGATATTTCCCAGCTCCCTGCAGTGAGGTATGGCTATGCGAGTGAGTTCTGGGCAGTGGGAAAGGAGTGGAAGTGGTATCTGCCTCTTCGCTGGCCCAGAGACCCTCTTGGGCGTGCTCCTCCACACTCCTCCTTTCCTGTGCTGACTGGCTGCAGGTGTAGGATGAGACACTAGGCTAGCCTCTGACTGACAGAACAAAGGGAAGTCCCTTGGCCATCCATCTGAATACCTTGTCCTGTGAATAAGAAGAAAACCTCGACTGTGTAAACCTCCAATTACACGTTAGGGTCTACTTGTTATAGCCGATTAGTCTATAACTAATACATTAATTGTTTTTAATGTTTTTAATCCTTACCCAAAGATATTTTTGCCATTGATTTTTAGAGAGTGGAAGGGAGGAATGAGTGGGAAAAGAGAAAGAGAAACATCGATGTGAGAGAGAGACATTGATTGGCTGCCTCCTGCATGTGTCCCAACTAGGACTGGGGATCAAACCTGAAACCAAGGTCCATGCCTTTGACTGGGAATCGAACCTGAGACCCTTTGGTCCTCAGGTCAATGCTCTAACTGCTGAGCAAAACAGGCCAGGGCACTAATACATTAATTTTAAGGATGACATCAAAGGAGCTCAATTTATGGCATGTGAATCTCAAAGATAAGAAACAATTTTGGATTTCATAGGATTCCAGCAGGAAGATCAATGAGCTCCCCCCCACAAGAACCATTAGTAGTTTGATATTATAACTATTTTACAATTTTCCCCCTTGATTTCCAATTTCCTGCATAGAAAATGGTGGGATTATAGTTGATTTCAATCTTCATTGTATTTTAAAGCATGTTCTAAATTTTCTATAATAATCACAACCCCTCTAATCGCAACTAAAATATTAAAAATACAACAGAGTCCAAGAAGAGATAAATAGATCAGCGAAACAGAACAGATTTCCTATATGGAGAAAAATTTAATTATTTTGCTACTTCTCACAAATGACAAAAACAAATTCCAAACGAGTTATAAACCCAAACTCGGAAAACAAAATCTTAAAACTTTAGCTGGCTCTGTTAATATTTATCCAGTGCCTAGAACAATGTCTGGCCTTTAGTAGATGCTGAAGTAAACATCTACTGAATGGGTAACTGAAAGAGTAAGACAATAACTTCATTATGTCAGTGAAGGAAAGAATTCCTTAAACAAGGACCCAGAAGTACAAACCATAAGCTAAAAGAGGATAACCTGACTATATCAAAGTTAAACATTTTGTAGCGAAGTGATTATAAACCAAATTTTAAAATGACAAAATGAGGCAACATGTTAAAGTTTTAATAGTCAGAATATATAAAAAGCTCTTTGCCCTTCACATTTTACCTCCAGTACAGTAGAGAGAGGAACATGATATCCTGACCAAGATTGTAGGCATTAGCTAGAGTCTGACCACCTGGTTTTGAATCCTGGCTCCACTACTTCCGAGCTGTGTGACTTAGAGCATATTACTTAACCTTTCTGGGCCTCTGTTTCCATATCTGTAAAAAGATGAAGTTTTCAATAAATAGTGTTATAAAAATTGTGAGGATAAAATTAATTAATACATTAGTATTAATAGTTGGCACACAGAAATCACTGAGATATTATTATGAATAATCTGCTTTACTTTCCTTCATATTGCTAGCAAAAAATGTATTATTTATTCATTTGTCTTCTCTAACTAGAACAGCATTGTCCATTGTATTCTCAGCACCTAAAATAAGTTCTGACATATAAAAGGTCCTCACTAGATATTTGCTGGATGAATGAGAAATCAATGTAAAAATCAATTAGAAGAAAACAAAAGACTGACAGAAGAATGTGCTGAGAATACGAATAAGCAACTCACAAAAGAGGAAGCCCTAACAGTCAATAAACTTACCAACAGATGCTCAACCTCACCAGCAGTAAGGAAAAGGAAACAATCTCAGATTCTACTTTTTATCCACTGATTTGCCAAACATTTTGAAGTCTAATACTATTGGGAAAATGTGAGGAAAGGGAACATTTATATACTGCTGGTGAAATGTAAACTCATATAACCACTTTGGAGAACAATCTGGCATTGCCACCATCACCATCATCACTGTCATCAGCCCAGCAGCTAACATTTAACACACTTACTATTGTCAGGCACTGTTCTAAGCACCTTACAGACAACAATCTTGCAAATTGTCACAACTTTGTGGGGTAAGTCTTTTATTATTATTATTATTATTTCCATTTTATAGAGGAGGAAACTGAAATGTAGAGAGATTAAGTAACTTATAGAAGTCACATGGCTAATAATGGCAGAGCCAGGATGTGAATCCAGCCAGCCTGGTTTCCAAATCCATGTAATTGCCACACTATACTCTTGTTTATGTATTTCTACTGGCTGAACATTGTTATAGGTATTTATTGGCAATCTTTAGGTCTTCTCTCTCTCTCTCTTTTTTTTTTTAGGTCTTCTCTTGTAGACTGTTTAGGATCTTTGAAGACTTTTTATTAGCCTATGTTGTATTAACTTGCAGCAGATCTTTAGCCTAGCCCTGACCAGTGTAGTTCAGTTGGTTGGGTGTCATCCCATGCACCAAAGGGTTGCTGATTAGATTCCCCGTCAGGGCACATGCCCAGATTGTGGGCTCGATCCCCGGTGGGGGGGGGGGGGGTGCAGGAGGCAGCCAATTGATATTGTGCTCTCACATTGATGCTTCTCTCCCTTCCCTCTCTCTCTAAAAATCAATAAACTATTGTTTAAAAAAGATTTAAAACAGCAGAGGTAACTCAAAGGTACACCACAGAAAAGAATTCACACACATACAGCTGTGGGGATTTGGCCAAGGCACAGTCCATTTCTCCCATGTACCGGCCATAAGCCTGTCCTCGTGCTGGGTCAGGCTTACAAGTTGATCATGTAGTCACCCAATTCAATAATGGATTCTACCTGCAGTTCTGGTTCTTAAAGAAATTATGAGTGAGTTTGTTTCTGTCACTGGCTCATCTTTGCAATTCTAGTAATGACTTCTTCAACCTTCTTCTCCCCAACGTAATGCACAACCCAGAGTAAGAAGCAAAGCTGCCAGCTGCCAGCATCTGGCTTTAGTGCGGCCTGACCTAAAGTAAGATTTCAACTGTTTCGTAGGTTGGGTAGCTTCATCCCTTTCTCAGCATGTCCCTTCTCCTTCTGGGATTGATATAGAAAACATCTGTCAGAGTATCTTCGAAGCCACATCATCTCTGATCAAAGCAGAAAGTCCTAGAGAAGCCCTTAGAAGGCTCAGAGCTCAAAGATGCCCTAAAGTTTATGGCCAGTGAGGGGTGGAACCTGATAATGACCTTTATCATTATAAAGATCAACAAAGCCCTGACCGGTATGGCTCAGTGGATAGAGCGTCGGCCTGCGGACTGAAGGGTCCCAGGTTTGATCCCGGTTAAGGGCATGTACCTTGGTTGCCGGCACATCCCCAGTAGGAGGTGTGCTGGAGGCAGCTGATCGATATTTCTCTCTCATCGATGTTTCTAACTCTCTATCCCTCTCCCTTCCTCTCTGTAAAAAATCAATAAAATATATATTTTTTTAAAAAAAAGATCAACAAGGAGGCAGGCGCAGCTACTGAGGCTGAAGCCTTGGGCAGAGGTCATGCCAACAACTTCAATATTTACATGGATGTCAGGAGCAGAGGGTGGCTGCCTCAGTGCAGTGACTGAACCAGAAGCCCTTGATTCAATGCAGGCCTGGCTGGAGTAGAACCTGGATGACTCCATTGGCTGGCTTCTGAGCTACACTTTAACTAATCCCCTGAGCTGTTTGACCTTAGACAACCTGCAAAGACAGGTCTTCACTGAGCTGTTTCCAAGTTTTCAATTCTTTCCACTCTGACCATAATCTAAATACGGGGAATGTTATATCTCATTAGACTTCTCCTTCCATGATTATTACATTACCAACAAACAAATCTGATGCACCCTAAAAGCCCAATTCTAATGAGTTAATGTTAAATCATAATAAAATTTTATCAAGACTCATTGGCCAGAAACTAATCTAGTGTGAAGTTTAGTTTGTGAAGACCTGTCTTTGCAGATTGTCCAAGATCAAAAGAAAGGAGGACATATTTTAAATGCCAGAGATTTGTTATGAATCTTTAAAATCAGCATATATAATAAAAGACTAAATACGAATTGCTCAGCTATTTAACAAACAAATTTCTTAAAGGGTTACTTATTTGCCTCTTCGGTAAAACTGCTTCCTAAATATGAAATGATGAACAAAACAATTAGAAAAATCAATTAAAAAATAAAAGCTTGAGGGAATTGGCAGAGTATATCCTTCATGATAGTTCAAATTAGTAAAAAATTACCCTATTTCCTACAGCCTTTAATCACTCATGCTCACAAATGTTTTTCTAAATTCCTTGCATATCTAATTTTCATTTCATCGATTGGGAGGCAACCAATCGATGTGTCTCTTTCACCCCTCCCTCCCTCCCTCCCTCCCTCCCTCCTCCTCCCTCTTTTGTATATCCCAATGCTGATCATGGACCTAGTCAATTCTTTCATTAAAGGAATGTCCCATATTTAAATTAAAATCCTTGTAGTTACAGAATGTAGCAATAAACAAAAAATGCTCCCCTGCCCCCCGAAAAAATCTTGTGAAGGATTAAGGGGCAAGCTATGAATGGTATGGAAGGAAAAATGCCATCTCAGGCAGTTACATTTTTGAGGAGGAACAGTGAGGCTGCGATAGCAATAAGATAATGGTCAGTTCCTAACTCAGAACAGATCCACAGCATATGCAGGCTAAGGGATTCCAGAGACAGATGGCTCAGAAGTAGAGAATAACAAAAATAGAGAAAACAGGGTAGTGCAATTGAGAAGGGCTGAGAGATAAGGCTGTAACATGTGACCAAGAACAAAGGTCAGAAGATAGAAAACAGGATTTCAATGGGCAAAGTAAAGGGTCACAGGCAAAGGTGAGGCTGTGCAGAGGGCACTTCTCAACGGCAATCTCAAAGGTGAACCTGGAGTTCTCCAAAATAAAAGGATACGACCCACCAAATCCAGAAGGGAGTTAAAGGTCATCGTCTGCTTTGGAATGGTAAAGAGACAAGGACAGAAACATACCAGAACTCAGAGAAATGGGCTGATGATATCTACAAGGGATAGCTTAAAGTTGGGACAAGCCAAGAGAGAAGGCAGGACTGGGATCTCTCTTGCCAACATTTATCTTTTCCCTCTTACCCCTGGGCTGTAACAGCAGAAAATTACTCCAAGATCAATGGGGCTTGATGGGCACCTGAGGCACAAGGTGCATGGTCCACCCATGGGCTTGTGTACTGACTGTTCAACCCAGTTTCTTCCCAGACTGTTATCCCCTGAGGATAGGGATCGGGCCCAGGACAAAGTATGTACCTATTAAATCATAAGACTTTGAGAGACAAACTCTTCAATTCACTAATGAAGACATGTATAAAGAGAGGTTAAGTGACTATTCTAAAATCAAAGTGAAGGTTAGTGGCAGACGTTCCTGCCTCCAGCCTTACTACTCATTTCAACATATCACACTGACTCCCTAAAACCTGTTAGCTGGAAAAGATTTTAAAATATTAAGAAATAGGCCCTGGCCGGTTGTGCTCAGTGGTTAGAGCGTCCAACCTCAGATCGAAGGTCTTCGGTTCAATTCCCAGTCAAGGACACATACTTTGGTTGCAGGTTCAATCCCCGGCCGCAATCAGGGTGCATGCGGGAGGCAACCAATGGGTGTCTCTCTCCCATGTCTTCCTCTCTCTCTCTCTCTCTCTCTCTCTTCCTCTTTCCCTTCTCCTTCCACTCTCTAAAACTCAATGGAAAAAATCCTGGGGTGAGGATTAAAAATAAATAAAATATTAAGAGATATTCTGAAGTTTAAAAAGAAATATTCTGAAGAAGTGATATACATTCAAGGATATTAATTTCAGCACTGTTTTATTAGCACAAAGGATTGGAAGTAACCTCATGATGTATTAACAGGGGCAGATTAAAAATAATGGTACAACTATTCAACAATATGACATGCAGCTTCAAAAATGAGATCTATCTATATGGTTCGATATATAGATAATGACTTCCAATATACACTGTTAAGTGAAAAACTGAAGAGCAGCAATGGAACATCGAATGCACATGCAAGCACAACTGTGCATGTACACATGACCCTGGGTATGTAGAGAACACCACCAGAAGACAAGCCAAAAACTGGCAAGAGTAGCTGCTTATGGAAGGGAAACTCAGTGGTGAGAAAATGAGACTTACTTTATACTGGATACCCTTTTGTGCCTTTTGAATTTTGTACCATATGCTCATACTACCTATTCAAAAATACTTTAAAAATTAAGGTGTCGATAAAGCCAAAGCTAATATACAGATGTAATATTATTTAGCATACAGGTCAGG